GTAGGAGTTTGTTTTGGAATGTTTGGAGCTTCTTGATGTTTGTTTTGCATGTTTGGCTGATGACAGGTGCCCCGTAACAAACTTGTGCTCTGATCACTTGTTTGTGAATTAGAGTTTTGTTTTGTAGTGAGAGTGTGCTTTTGCGATTAAGAAGAGGGGTAGGTAGGCGGCAGTTTGAATTCCTGTTTTAATACTTTTGCTTATGTGTTGAGAGAAGTGTAGCTTAGAGTCTATTATTATGCCAAGATATTTGACTGCCTTTGTGTATTCGATTTGCGTGTTGTTCAGTGTTAGTTTTGGAGTGTTTGTGTTGACTGTTTTTCTAGTTATTAGCATGGCTTTAGTTTTTTAAGAGTTAATTTTGATTTTCCAGGTGTCGGCCCAGGCTTGAAAAGTGTTTAAGTGTCGTTGTAAGGGTGGGATTATGTAGTAGATGTTTTTATTACTATAATAGAGGCTCGTGTCATCAGCGAAAAGAGCAACTTTGAAATGGGGGCTTTTTGGAACATCAGCTGTGTATAGGTTGGAAAGAGTTGGGGAAAGCGGGGCGCCCTGTGGGACACTTGCTTTTATGGATCGGATGGAGAATTTTGTTTCTTCAGAGTTATGAAAAACTTTCTCTAGTGGAGAAAGTTTGCCACAAACTGAACGAAGGTTAGGGGTAGTTTGTGGATGTTTTAAAGTTTCCAAACCAAGCCCTCAGCCCAAGCTTCAGTAGGGACCGCAAAACCTGCACTAAAACACCAAGGGAGGGAACTAATTGGTGTCGCCATCTATCGCTCGTGTTGAAATTTATTGAATTACTAATATCGCTATTAAAAGATAGGAGTTCATGGCAGCACCCATATCACTTAGGAGTATAAAAAATAGATAACAACCTATTCTCAGACCTACTGAACATACATATAAAATTTCATCAAAATTGGTCAAGCTATTTCGGAGGAGTATGGTAACTAAAACTGTGACACGAGAATTTTATATATATAGATAATACGTTCAACTTACCGCGATTTTTGAAAGCTCCTACACTAGCGCCTCTAGCGACAAGAGTTGTAAAATAGGATAACCTTAAATTGTTATTCCACATTAGAGTTGTACCTTACGAAATAGTTTTATCGTATTTTGTTATATTCAATAGTGGTTTTGTGCAATTTCTTAAAACAATGGTTAACAAACTTGGTTCTGTTTGTGCAGTCAACGGTTGTAATAATTATAAACAACAGAAAGAGCAAGAAAATAATTTTTCAGGATGCCGAAAGATGCTAATCTGTAAGTTTACAATTAAGCTGATTTTTGAGTTCACAATTAACAATTCTTCTATTCTATTTGCAGACAAAAATCATAGATAATCGCTTGCAAACGGAAGGATTTAGATCTGTTATTAAAATCGGAAAACAGCGATTACTTTTACCAAACATAAGTAGTATGTTCGGATCATTTTGATACAAGTTGCTTCCGCAATAGAAATTTATTTAGTCAAGGATTGCTTCCTGGATCTATACCAACGCAAAAGTGATTTAATAAAAAAAAAGCGACAAAACGTATGATAAGAGCATTAGTGGCCACAATATTGCAAAAAAAATAAAAATTTATGAAGACAGTAGAAATGAGGTGTTTTTACCGGCTCAAAATTCTTCACCGTCCGAAACATCGGAATCATTAAACGTGGAAATTTGTGAACTATAACGAAGGGTTGATAACTTACGGAAGAAACTAAAATATAAAACTACACTTGTTTCAAAGTATAGAAAACAAAATCAGCTATTGCGAAGAAAGTTAAAAAAGTTAAGTGTAAACAAAGGTATGAAGGCACCTGGCATGACAACATTTTGCAATCAATTTGTTCAGAGTCAAGTTAGATTAGTTGGAAAGAAAAAAACGGTAGGCGTTACACAGATCAAGAGAAAGAGTTTGCACTTGCTTTGTTGCTCGACAAAATCTTATACTTTTTTACAAACTTACTTTTGTCTTCCTAGCATTAGTTTTTTAAGTGCTTGGTTATCTGGGATGCATTTAGAATGTGGTTTAAATTATGTGGTCTTGGAATTACTCAAGACAACATGTGATAAATTTAAAAAAGAAAAAAAAGTTGCTTCTGTGGTATTTGATGAAATGTCGTTACAGGAACGTCTCTCTTATAATTCATCTCAAGATATACTCGATGCATTGCAGAATTTTGGCACTCACAGGCCACATTCTTTCTAAATTTGCAATCATGCAATGGTTATAATGCTTAAGGGTATTTATGTTAATTTTAAGCAAGTAGTAGGTTATTTTTTAAGTAAGGACGCATTGCCAGCTGATGTACTCAAAGAATTAATATTAGATTTTATTGAAAAAATTTCAGACACTGGTTTTCTTGTAAAGACGGTAGTGTGCGATTTAGGCACTAACAATCTAAAAATGATTAAACTACTTTCTGTATTAGTTGAGAAACCCCATATATTAATTTTTGCAACCAAAGCATATATTTTTTCTACAATACGCCACATTTACTGAAATGTTGCAAAATCATTTAAAAAAATATGATATTCAAAGGAAAAATGAAGTTTATTCGTGGTCACATATTCAAAGATTTTATGGCTTAGATTCAAATAGAATTCCAAGAATGGCACCAAAGTTATCAAAAAGATGTATTACGTTGCCCCCTTTTAGCCCTATGAGAGGGTGTTTAGCAACTCAGGTTTTAAGCCACTCGGTTCATGTTGGTATTTTGTGTCATGTTTCGATGAACAATTTGCCTTCTAATGCAGTACATACGGCCAATTTTATGTCACAAATTGACATCCTTTTTGATATTCTTAATTCTCAATTTTATAATGATAATGTCAGTGAAATCCAGTCATCACTTAGAAAATCTGAAGAAATATATTTGGGAGATTTAAAAGTTATGAATAACAAGTCTTGTAATCCATCTTGCATTGATGAGTGGATTTCAAATACAAATGCATTACAAGTACTTTTTGACGAATTGACAACAAAATTTAATTTTGAATATTTAATTTACTCGACGTTTAACACAAGACTGCATCGAGAATTTATTGTCTATTATTAGAGCGAAAAACGGCAATAATATAACACCCGACAGCGTTAAATTTCGGTGCAGTTTACGTTCTGTAATGGCTATTCAGTTGCTTCCGTCTACCGATAGTAACAGCGAAATAGATGCCTCAAAATTTATTTTCCAAAAAAAAGAAATCGAAAATAAAACGAAAAGCCTCAAGGCATTATTCTCCATGCAAACTTGTTTCATTGTCTGATTGTAAAACAGATATTAACGTAAACGCAGAAAAAATGTCAGGAATATATGTATTGGGGTGGGTTTGCAGTGAAAATAATTGATCTGACCTAGAAAATGACTTCATTAGACAACATTCAAATTGATTTCAAAAAATGCACGGAATTGTCTAGACTAGTTTTTCCTAATTCTCTAGCAAAAATGGTTTCCCAAATAATAAATAATTGCTTTAAAAATTATATAGATGTGCAGAAAGTTGTTCGGGAGTAAAATATAAATTAATTTTAAATTACAAATGTTTTATTGAAGAGCTGCTAAAAAATCACGTTTGTGATAGTTGTTGATGTAATCTTCCCAATTTTGCGGAACTTAAGAGATAAACAACGAGTTTGTCGATTTTACCTGACGGAAAATTTCGCCCATTTTATTAACTAGAACACGTAAGTATTTACCGATTACATGTTATAGCTAACTAAGTATGAGAAATCAACAAATAGTTTCTGCAAAATAGCTCTTGCTTACATGAAATCAGCATTTACACAAATTCCGCGTAACAAATACAATATGCATAATAGGAAACCAAATCGGTTTCCACAAAATTAACATTGAATTGGACGTATTATAGACTATAGTATTTGGAGTTATTTAGAGCCGCTACAGGTAAGATTAAATGTGCAAATCTAATGGCGGTTCCGTAAGTATAAGGCATCTTAAGAAAAAACGGAACGATCATCTAGACGAACCGCTAACAAGAATAAATTAGCCTTATGCCGGGTCCACACCAAGCAGACAAAACATCGCGAAAACCGAGACATTCATGCTACACGACAAAGTGGCGACAAATATTATACATTTCGATTCCGGAGGCTTCCAATTCCGGAGACTTTTGAAGGTCCCGTCTCGAGTCGGTAAATAACAAAGAGTCTCTGTTTTGTTTGTGTATTTTACGGCTAGTTGTCGGCGCAGTGTGGACCGTGTGTGTTGGAAAAAGTAGGAGACCAATAAATCAGTGAAAATGCCCAGTCCACAGTAGAACATTTAATCCACAATCTGTTATATGACGCTGAAATGGGCAAGTATAATAGTGAACCCAATAAGCGATCATCATCTCAAGTACAAAACCACTCACACTTAACACTCCACTCGTGTCAACACACAACATTTATATTCGAATCCACCCGACGCCAATACACAACATTTATACTCAAATCTATTCAGCTTCTACACATAACATTCTAAGTACATATCGGAACATTCTCAGTATATGTATATCAGACCCACAAAAAGAAGGAATATGAACTTTTGAATGAAAAACAAGAAGACACATTATTTTTAATGTCTATATGAGTTAATTATTTTTCTTGTATTAAAAATTAGTTTCATACAGTAAATATTAAAAACTGTGTTAAAAAATGAGGATATTAAAAATAAAAAACGAGGATTATTTGAATTTTTCTAGCTGGTCGAAACGGCACACAGTTAAACAACTGAATCGCACCAACTGAATTTTGTTGCACGTTTGCCGTTGTGGTGTGGACAGTTTGTCTCAATTTAATTTTGTCGTATTTTTATCTCAAAATCGTGTTCACCTTTTGTCTGCTTGGTCTGAACCCGGCACTATGAACATCTATGCAAGTGGTATCTGCAGATTAAACTATGATTGTCATTAACTTGCATACTACCGGTCGTGAACCGGTTAATCCATTTTAGAGAAATGCATTTAACTTAGTCTCCGAACGGTCAGTCATAGTCAAAAAATGTTGCAAAACATGTGTAGGTAACCAAATGTGACTTCACGAACTCGATATGAAGTAAATATATCTTACTCTTGATGTGCCAACCTTATTTAAATGTTATACTTACTCATATTAAACCTACAACTGTTAGATGTTTTAACGACAAACGCACAATCGCAAGCAACTGTATTAATACTGAAACAATTAAAACTGTTTTTATTTATGTGTTTATGTGTACCTGAGATGTAATGTATTCTGGGAGCTTTCGCAAAACTTACTTTGTCGTCGTCTGCCAAGGCCATCTCGTCCATAATGACCTTAAGTTTGTCTTTGTACGACTGCAACTCTCTGTTCATAGCTTCATTATTGCGTTCGGCCAATAAATGCATTTGTTGTGCTTCTTGTAGCTAAACATTTATTAAAATATATTATTCTGATTTATTTTCCTGACTACATGTAATTGTTATCATTCTTATCTTTCCTGGGTCTCAATCAAAGTGTGAAGTAAAAATTTTGAAACATCGTTTATTKCATTACGTTTCGGCGAGACAACAGCGCCATCATCAGATTTAAGATTAACAAAAACTACAATCACCAATTCACAATTAAAACATGTATAAAAACTATAATTTATAAAGCGTTAAAACATTCATCAGTTCTTGAGGGATCCTTTTTAATCATGAATTGGTGTTTGTAGTTTGTGTAAATTTTAAATCTGATGATGGCGCTGTTGTCTCGCCGAAACGTAATGAAATAAACGATATTCAACAATTTTTACTTCACACTTTGACTGAGACACGCGACCCAGGTAAGATAAGAGTATAATTCAAATATATTTACATGCTTTATGTCATTTTTTAAATAAACATACGCCGTCGGGCTTAAGTAAAGCAACGTTTCCCAAAATATGTATTTAATTCCCAACATAATAATTATGCAAGCAGGACAATGTAGAAAAATGAACTCCATTCCAAAAAAGTGACATTCCAGACTTTTTCTCTAATTTCAAAAAACTCGAAATTGTTTGCCATTTGTCCGATTTCAATCCCTTCAACCCCCTCCCAGCTATCCCGGATTAGTCTACTGTCCATCTTAACACTTAAAACTGCATTGAGGGCAGCCTGGCTGTTGGAGTAGATCTGGATCACTGCCTCTAGTCCTTCTGTAACTTCTCCATCTATACTAATCTCGAGGATTGCATATAATTCCGCCTGAAACACTGTCGTCCAGCTTCCCAGCGAAAGGAAGACTCCTTTGTTGGTACACAACTGCCCCAGTCCATCCCGTATTGGACACCCATAAGTCGCAGGTATACCAACGTTGCACTCCCCAATCTTTGTAGACCCACTAGCTTCCGGAATATGTCGGCCACCAAATCACGGAACCATAACAGATCCTCGGTCTTATATCAACAGTGGACTTCATAACGTGTCGTTTTAAGCCAAAGCTTTTCCCCAGCTCCCGCCGCGGGAGCCACATAATGACAGTAGCCTTTTGATAACTTTCTCAAAGGGGTACCTCTCCCATGAGAGTAAGATATTTTTCCGTACAACATTGGCGTCCTATAATCCTTTATGTTTCTTCTCCATGTAAAGAGCATGATCTCCGTTTTGCTAGCATAGACTTGCGCGTAGAATCCCTCCCGGTCTAACCGCCCCAGGAGCTGGTCCACAACCAAGACAGCACAGGGGGGAGAAAGGCAGCTCTGCATTGTGACCTCCAGCCCGTCGCCCTCAGGCAAGCACTGACCGTGCGGCTCCCAATCGCACTCCGGACCCAGTTTATTACTGAACGGGGAGCCTCTTTTAATTTAAGATAATTGCAGGTATTGCTTGTTCTGGCCTTATCAAAAGCCCCCTCCGCATCGAAAAGGAGGGTCAGCGTCACTTACTATCTTGTAGCCCCTGTTCCGCTTTTTGCCCTAGGGCATGGAGAGCCGTACCTGTCGATCTTCTTTTCCTGCATGATGGTTACTCTGCAGCAGAGCCCTGTTGAGAACTTCCTCTGTTCCGGTACCTGTCTATGATCTTTTCTAATACGTTTTCAATATAAGGAAAGACGTTAAACTGATAGGTGTGAATGAGTTGGCCTGTGTGTAGTTTTTTTTACCGGGTTTCACATAAGGTTCACAGACCACTTCCGCTTCAAATGAGGTATAAAAATCACTTTCAGAATTATAAAGACCATTTTCACTGTCAGGATGTCCTTGTATGCATTGCATGTATTGTATACGCAAGAGAATTTTTGGAATTATCCCGTCTGAAGCTACTGATTTATATGGAAAATATTGGGAAACCGCCCATCTGCTGGCGTCATCACTCTTTTGGCCGTGGTCCAGTACCATTCATTAGGACAGACCTTGCCGTCTTGCGGGTGACGCCGTCGCCTGGGAAATGTTTCGTTAGGAGAAGTTGTAGAGTCTCATTTTTCGCTTTCGTCAAGGTGCCATCTTCCTTCTTAAGGGTCCCTATATCGTTTTGCAATTCACCTGTCCTGAGGATCTTCGCAAGCCGGGCCGAACCAGACAGCGACTCAACCTCGCCGCAGAATTTCTGCCACCTTGCTCTTTTAGACCTTATCAATTCCTTCTTAAAGTCTATCCTTGCTTTGAGGTAGAGCGCCGAGTTTCGTCGTGATTTCCTTTGGCGGTTAGGTAAAAACCTCTTCTAGTTTCGCGTCTCAGGCTCTGAAGGGCCTTATTCCAACAGGGGACCGTAGAGGATCCAACCGCAACTAATCAGCCTTCTTATCTCGACACGCGGCAAAGTAACGTCTTGGTCCAAACACCCTCCAAAACCCTCCAAATTAGTATTTGATTAAATGTGTTATTACAGTTTTATTTCTCGAACATGAATGCAACTAAATCTTGTTGCTTTACTTTAATTTTTTCAAATCGGGTTTTCAGACCGAACAGTGTCGTATGAACACGATAGACTGAACTGTAATGTAAATTGGAAAGTACTTAAAACCGCTAGTTCTCTTGTCAAAATTAAACCGTTAAAATAAGGTTTTAATAACTTAATATTTTATATTATTATTTAGCTACTTTAAAAAATAATAAAGTAAATTGAATACCTTGACTTGGGTGGCTTTCAGAATGTCAGGCAACGGCGCCAATTCCTGTAATTTTTCCTGAAACTGATTTTTCACTCGAACAATTTCAAGATTGACTTGTTCACTGATTCGGTTATTTTCCATTCGCATTATTTCAATTTGACGACGTTGCTCTTCTATTGTTTGAATTGCTTCTAGGTACTAGAAAGTGATAATATGCCGATAACTTGACAGTGAACTGAACTAATTAATAACAAAAATGATAAAATCACATTACCTTATTACGATAGTCGTTAAGTTGACCTTGAATGTCTTCCACAAGCGCACGTAACTCTTCTAGTTCATCTTGTGCTTGCCTATAGAGTTCTTTGTGTACTTTCAATTGCTGTTGGAGGTCTATTAGCTGCTCTCTTGACCCTATACCCTGAAACCCAACAGAGTTTTTTTCTGACAAATCGAAGATAATGGAATACGCGCAAAAAACAATGTATTAAAATCGAACTCTAGAATATCTGGACCATTACAAGGTATCTGGGCAGATGTAGATCACATGAGAAGGCTTAGGGCTTTTCAACAATTTTGGAAAAACCGAGAAAACAATTTCGTGTCTGATTTGGAGAGGATCGAAATATTTGTGGAAAGAACCGTATGTCCGGAAAACAAACAGATGTACACATATTTTATGGGCGCGTTGAGATGCTATTTATGCCTGACGTCTACCTCTCTAGCTTGCAGCCTTTAGGTCCATTTTCCCCTCACCGCAGCAGCCCCGGAGACCCGATCCCCCAAAACGCCTATCACTAACAGCAATTTCCTTAATTTCTAACAATAAACTTACGCTAACTCTTTTTGATAAATAGGAAAGTTAACGAACGTCAACACAAAGGCCAACTAATATTATAAACTAAAAAGAAAATAATTTCCATTTAACATCAAAAACATTAAGTTCTACGCTCATCGCCCGACACAGCGTAGAGCATTCCTGGGCTGAGCGTCCTGCACAGGCACGAAACGAAACGTTCAGCGCTTTGCCCGGAAAAAAGCGTTAATTCCCCGCACCACCCTGCACAGCCGTTTCACACCTAAATTTCCATTTAATCCCTAGTCAAAGTCTACAGCCAAGAGTCGCTCCACACGCCTATACGGGGCAACCCTCGAGGACTCCGTAGCCCGACCTGCACTCACATGAATTCCAAATTCCTTTGTAAATTTCCACATACGGAAACACTCAAGCCACACCGGGGTGGAACCGTAGAGCGCCTGCAGAGCCTCAGTGGAGGTGGTCTTATGACACCGGCCCACACTCAACAGCATTAATCTGTGAGTAGCCTGCAGCTGCATCTTCACTCTCGAATCAATTGCCTTTTCACCCCAAAGCTCCATTGCATACATTACAGCACACTTTATAACTCTCTCAAACAGCATTCACACCAATCTGTTAACCGCTAAGCCCCTCGTTCACAGAATTTCCTTTCATCTTAACACTCGCACTCCCCGCTTTCTTTCTCACACTTCTGGCGTGTTCCAGGGAAAGGAACTTTGCATTCAACACAACGCCACTACATCTGACCTAAGTCGAAGGGTTGCCGACCGAAATTCATAATTCTCTCCAATTTTTGACTGACCCCGTCCTCAGCAACAATACTTGGTCATCCGCGTAGGCCTGGGCGGTCATCCCCAACATTATTTCTCCCATACTCTCCCCGTCCTTACCTTCTTCTGGTAACCACAGCCTCTCCACTCGAGCTGCCTCCCCAAATCATGCCTCAATTACTACAAGCCTCAAAGTTGGAAAAAGGCTCGAAACTTTCGGGCACGCTTTCCTCCATTCCAGAGAGCCTACCCTATCCTCCCTAATTCATGAAGAGCTACTGGGGCCCATGCCATATTAAACGCATTACTATTGTCCAACAGCACCATTACTTGATGTTTTCCGGCCGTTTCCCTCTTATTATCAGTTTTCTAACCGCATCATCTGTTGCCAAGCCTCTCCTTAAATCCAACTGTCTGCAGTCCAGTCCGACGGCAACATCGAGAACGCACTGAAGACGCATGTTGATGATTCTGTCCAACAGCCTCCCAGCTATCGGCATGAGGCTGATGGGCCTTACCCTTCAGACCCGTTCGTCAACCACACTAATTTGGCACACTTTTCAACCTTTGGAGCATATTCAAATCTTAAACATCCACCATACATTCTCATCACATCATATTCTCTAACTCCACGAACAATGTGCCGATACAGACAACACCTATAGCAAATTACCATGTCGCTGTTCTCATCTACATAATACAGCTCGTACCCCAAACTGACCTCAACAAGACGATTCAACCTCAATGCCCACGCTCTCGAGGTGCGCCAACCCACTCGGTTTCTTAGCAACACCCCAATTGGTGCTACATTCCCCCCAATGGCCTCCAAACGCATAATAATCGAGACATTTTCCAACCTGAGCCCACTGACGCAGCTTCGACACTCGGTCCATGCGCAAACCGAAAAAAAGAAAACCGACAAAAGAGGTAGCCGTCGTGCGAATGGACAGATATCCAACCAATAGAAACACTTTCGTACCATCGTATCACCTGTGGACAGTGCTGACAGCTCATACAACTCTTGAGTACTTCACTTCAATAAGTAAAATGAGGTTGTAATACAAAATGTCACATTGTTAATTTCATCTTGTTTGATTAACCTAAAGTTTTATGTTTGTTTCTTCCGAGCATTTTCTCTAAATGTTCGTAGCAAAAGTCTCTGAACAGTAGCCCAGTTGGCTTCTATTCTCCTTCCGCACGACAAAGCCGAAAACATTTGTTTAAAAACTTCTACGGAGACGCCAATGGGACGCATGCGGATGAGCTTTGAGTGGTGCGACGGATTTCTGCAGAACGCATTCCGGATACGTTCCGGCCTCATGAGAACTTCCCAAATTTAATATATTTCAACATCTTCCGCGCTGAACATTGTGAAAATCGTATGCTCAGTGTAGTAAATTATGCTTTGACAGTGAATAAAATTCCGAATTTTTTCAAAATCTTATACTTTTCCGGCTAGTTTCCACCGAGGATCAAGTAAAATAGTATACGGCACGCGAGGCGAAAGTCAAAGTTTTGCTGCGGCTTGAAGTTGACGTCCTCGGCTTCGCCTTTTGTGCCGTAATATACTATTACTGACTGTAGTAAAATACTCAAAAGCTGCCTTTCAGCTGGTTTTCAGAAACATGTGTCAACAATGCCGACGGTATTCCGGATTGCATGTGAACTGCTTTAATTTTTCCGCACGTAGTACGTGAAAGACTGATTTAAAGCATGCTTACAGTATTCCTAAATTTCTACTCTCACCTTATCTCCTGCGTCTCCTCTAAGCTCTTTCAATTTCTTTTCAAGCTCTTTAACCTTCATATCCAATTTCGCGCGATTTTCCTCAGCCTTGTCTGCTAATTCCTTTAATTTTTCATTGTCCGCACGTAAGCCCGCAACTTCAGTCAGTTTGGCTTTAAAGTCCTCCTGCAGTCTCGCATACTTCTCCTTCATTTCTTTGAATGGCTGGTCTTCACCCTAGGAACAAAACATAGAGGAACGAAAATTAGTGTGATAGTGCTTTCTTTCTGCCTTCGAGAAATCTTAAATTTTGACACTTAAAAAAGGAAGAACTCTTTTTCTTCAATTAATCTGCCTTTGAGAAATTTGATATACGCATTCTTCTAAACGACACGCACGCTTCTCGAAACATTAGATGGAAGCAGTTTCGACCCAAAAAAAAAGACGTGCAAATACACTATTCTTACCGACGCTTCTGAGGGGCAGCAGGGTAATGTTGGGCAAGGTGGATGGCCACATGGTGGGTAAGGTTTACACGAAGGGTAAGGTGATGGACACGGCGATGGGTGGCATGGGGGAGACAATGCCAGCATTTTCCGATGATGTTCCAAATGTTCTCGCTCTTTCTGAACCTCCAAAAGTTCCTGCTGAATGATTTTTACATCTTGTTCGACATCAACTAGTTGCTTTTCCTAGAAGTAGATTTGTGAAGTAATGAGTCTACATGTCAGCAGCAAATTTTCAGGCAAAAGTCAGACTTTTGCAATCGTTGCATTTTACAATTTGTCGTCTGAACAAATTAAAAACTAACAATAACAACAACAACAACATCTTTATTCAGTAAAAAGTCTGTTAAAAATCTGGTTTAAGGGCCGTTACCTCTTCTCTCATATTAAAACTGTTATCATGTTTAAAGATCTCGATGGCCTCTCTGTGCAAATGTGACATGTGACACAAACAGCGCGTAAAAATTCCTTACAGAGTCTTCCCACCCCAGAAAAAGGCTCATGGAAGAGACCGCTGGAAATCGAGTTTTATGAAATCGTTTTTAACAACTCATTTTGCTGTTTGCCATCGCCGTAGACTGACCAGTTTTTTTACATTAATGCATATATTTTTAAAACCCTTTTCATTATTGCATTCATATTTTTGTCGAAATAGTCGAATTTTTGCAAGAATGTCCATTTATTTCGGAAATTTGACGCTTTAGGTATAGAAACATGATATATCGTTTCACAGGGAATTTAACGGTCTTCCCGTATTTGAACTAATATACAGGGTGTTCTATTTGAAAAAATGTAATTGGAGCAGTTTTTATCTCTATCCGAAAGGTCAGTATTTTCAAGACATCCTGTGTAATTTGGAACAACTGCTGTACGCCCGGCTCAAGCATAGGGCTTTCCGAAGCCAGTACCAAAATTTTAAATTTACAGGGATCGAAATCGCGTTGTAATACAAGATTAGTTGAGGCTACGTTTTGATTAAAAATAATGAATTTTATTAGATATTTCGGAAACCGGCTTAGATCGATATAGGAATCGTTGGTGCAGAAACAATCAGATCTATATCGTCAATCCAACCGTGCAATAATATACAGGGTGTCTGATTTAAAATAGCAAAGTTGTACGTTCTCCTTAAACGTCTAATACGCCATCGACCGTGAATCATCCTGTATAGTAAGAAAAAACAGATACGATAAGTATTATTTTAATATAAACAAACAAAAATGAAAAAAATTAGAAAAGGGCTAAGTGCCAATAACTTTTTTATTCAAGGTAAGTGCTAGAAACTATGCAATAATTTTTTGGTGGAACTCTTGGTGCTGTGGTAAATGAAGATATGTAATTATAGCGGGTAAATTTAGCTTTTTAGCTGTGGTGTCAATTCCTGTCCAACTATCTGGAGTTTTCTTATTTGGTCTGCAGAAACATTTTTCTTCAGAACCTTTATCTTCTTCTATTCCTCTATATCACTGTGCGATTTCTTAGTAAACACACATCCTGGGTTATCTTTCGTAACTCGTATTTGTGACAACGTCGATATTGCTAGCTTTGCAGTGGATATTAAGGAGTCGGCGGCTTGTAAGTTTAAAAACTGTCTCGGTTCCATTTTGACAACTTTATATGCCTGTACTGATCTGGTTTCTCTTATGAGTTGTTTGATGTCTTCAGGCACAATGCATTTTTTGATCCTTCTTCTCCGTTCAATCTGTGCGAAATGACGATCATTTGGTAAGTAACTGTGATCGCTCACGAGAAACTTTATAGTAACTTCGGTGAATAAACCAATAGATGTTAAAAGCATCATTAAAAATATTGCTACCCGATTTTTATTTTGCCCGGTACAGTTATCACACCAAATGATCAGTCTTTCGTTTTCTGTAATGTTGGAGTTTAGAACTTTCAATAAGCCGGACATAATTTCATTCGATCCCCTGGCAGCTTCTGTTTCATTCCAGACCAGACGCACATAAAAGCTTCATTTGTATAGGCAATATGCACACTAAAGTTATAAACAGACAGTTGCCTCATATAATACATATCCGAGTGAGTTAACGTTGGAACAAATAATACTTTGTCTATACCTATTGTTATTGTGCAAATCTGACTTCCTGCTTGCTGGGAGGAAGCGGAGTCTTTTTTGAGATTGGTTGGAGCTTTCTCTGCTTTGCGATGGTGCAACTCTAACTGTAATCTTACAGAAGGCGTTTGTACGTTCATTTTTATAACACATGCATGTCTGTCCCATATTTTGCAAGTGTCCATTCCAGGCATACGGAAACTCAAATTTCAAAATTATTTTTTTAAAACCCTGCAGTAGTATGTAGCACTTGATTATGAGGATACTTTTTATTAAATGCCTTTGAAGGACGATGTATATTAAGGTCTGGGCTAAGGTACAATTTTGAGTTTTTTTCACGAGAGTAGTGGCCTTTTGGCTCTTTTGGTATAGAATTTATGTGATTTATAATACGGTTGCGATCTTCTTTTGTATAAACTTTTCGATGATTGCCATGAGTTCCGCGTTTATCTGTGTAAGTTATATCACCACTTTTCTTCTTTCTTATTAGAACTTCCACCATCTTTTTCGCCAGTGACAACAAATTCATAAAAGTTTTCTTACAGACGTTTACAATACTTTCTATTCTGTCGGGGAAAGTGTAAAATACAGAACACTGTTTTCTAGTCTCACTCTAGTCACCTTTTTTCACCTGTCCTAGATGTATATGGGACCTACAAAACGATCCTATTCCGATTAAACATACCCCAAGTTCTGGTAGCGTTTTCGCGGGAATAGTCTTTCCTTTATGAGACAGATATTCTTTACCGGACACTTTAAGTGCTTGTTGGACTTTAAAATTAACTCCAGTTTCGTATTTTTGTTTCTTAGTATTATCAATGTTTTCCATGTTCATTTTATTCTTAGCATCACGCACAATCGCAGACACAGAATAATTTCAAGAAAACGAACATGCAAAATTAATTGTTATTAAATTATTTGAAATTATCATCGGGTTGAGAGTTACGTATACAGGCATGCCGGAAAAAGACGCACTGCAAACTTTGAAACTCGATTTTGAGAAAAATATATAACATTATAATCCCTACTCTGGCTCAAAAATTTTGCGCTCTAGCTCAAAACATGATGGAGCTATAAATTTTCTAAAGGTTTTCCGGGGATTACCAGAATAAATACCCAAGCGAGATCAATAAGAATTCAGCAGTAGATAAGTATCCCGACTACGAACCAGCTTTGATTATGGAAGAACATATGATGACTGCGCGCCGCCTTGACGAACTTGCAATCGAAGTCTGTCATCTTGAATGAGGTTAAATTTAAGTGTTATTGGAGGTGTTGCGCCGTTAGGCGCAAGGTGCTTTTGACGCACAGAGTGGCATCACCACAAAAGTGGCACACAACACAGTGTTGCTCAGGCCTACTGGGCAACACTTCCAACGGATATACGCAGCATTGTTGAACGCTTAAAATTCCAAACTGGTTTCCTATATTAAAATGAGTGTTCTCAATTCAACCAAAACGAAAGTTATTTCAATAATCCTTCTCGTTATTACCCATTCATGTACACTGCATTGGTTCGTGGTTTCAGCTCACCAATTTAGCATAAAAACATTTAAAAAGCTCACCAACTGATTAGTAGTCTGCGAATACTCTTGCAGGCGGTTCTCCACATCTGCGGGACAAAGTCCTTTGCCAGGTCCACATGACATTTTCACTCCTGTTCCTCCACCTTCTCGAGTAGGAGAATTGGACCTTGAGTTTTTGGGACATGAAGCGTTTGGACAATGCTGTAAAGAATATATTATTTACAATAATATCAATCTTAATAGTGGCAAGTTTTTTTCAGTACATAAATTAGAGAAGCAAGAAACAAAAGTCTGTAGAGCTGTTGTCTAAAAGAAACGATGAATAGGTTTTTGCATATTCCATGTAAACCATTGATTTGAAAACCGCCGTTTTCAACGAAATTTAGCAAGCTTGAGAGCCGCAAATCTGTGATTTACATTTCTAAACTGGGCTAAATGTGTAAAAGGCTGTAGGGGAAACCTGAAACCCGTAGAGAGCACGTCTCCATATGGTGGAGCGGGAAATGCACTCACCGGTTCAATTCTTTGGACCGGCGCACATAGGAGTATTTGACCCTCAAACCTTTTGTAAGCCAAACGTCCATTTTGTAAAATATATAGTAACACAATTAAAACCGTCTGGTAACCCTCGTTGTGGACAACCCTCCATACAATAAGCGTTTTAAACAAAAACTTATCTGCGCATAATGGTTTATTATATAAACCTGTGAAAAGTCGGCGGTATTCCAGATAATATACGCCAAGAATTTGTGAGAGTTTGTTACAAAAAGTTTGAAAGTGGTATATTTTATAGATTTGACGTTTTAAATAACTTTATTTATGCAGTTTTCAGATGAAGCAGGTATGTAATTTATTTTGTAATACTTTTCATTAGACGAAGATTATTTTTGCTTCTTAAATGCCAAGCTAATAGAGAGTGTTGCATAAAGCCAATTTCGAATTCAGATTTAGTTTTCGGAAAACCTTTTAATAGGTTATCCCGTGAGATCCAGTCAGTTATTTAATATTTTTCAGTAGATATGACATCTGTGTTTTAGTCTTTAAAAGGAGATTCTGCAGATTTTTGCGGTTTTCATAAATATGCCATTTTTAAGAATGATTATGCCGTAACCTTAAAATTTTGCTGGATTTGCTTGGGTTTACTGACCTTGCTACTCAGTGATTCATATTTGCCTTGTATTTTATTTTGTAAATTATTTCTTATTCCACTATCGATTAGTTAGTAGAGTCTGTATTGTAAGTGAGAATCTTGTTATTTTGTAACTTTTAATTCGCCTTCCATTTTAAACATGCGCTTATCTTGTAGATGATTCCTTCGCTAACATTTCTTAGTAGTGTTTTTTCAGGAAATGCGGCCCATTTACATGCATTTACATTATCTTTGTTTTAAGTGCAGTTATTAAATTTTCAATATTTCGATTTTCCGTTATTAAGTCAATCATTTTTAATTATAGTCCCTGTATTTGCAATGCGTAATTTAGGTGAATTTTTCACACGCAAGGAAAACTTCTTTTAGCAACTGTATTGATTAAATACATTTAAATTTGTAATTTTTTTGAGATTCAAAATGTCTAAATCTCTAAGCCAGACAGCGTTTGTCTTAAAATGTCCGTTTGCGCGGATAATGCTCTGTTACGTCATTTGACAGTTCATCACATGATATACGTGGGACGTGATTTTCAGCAGCTTATGATTCTATAGCACTACATAATCATAAGCAGTATTTCGAGTTTCGATTCTGTATGTCTTTTATTTGCGTTTATGTACATATACATACATGTACATATACATTCCGTATATGCTATGGATACAGCCAAACTCTATGTTGAATTATATCCATGGCATCCAATGACTCCGACACTTCATAAAGTTTTGCTACATGGGCATTTAATTATAAAACACGCCCTGTTGCCTATTGGTCACTTAACTGAAGAGGCTGCGGAGGCGAGAAATACGCACTTTAGGAATTGCAGCCTAAACTATGCTCTAAAATTTTCAAGGCTGCAGTGTAATACGGACATTATAATCAGACTTTTATTGACATCAGATCCGTTATTGTCTAGCATAAGGAAACCGGTATTAAAAAAACGTGCGGTTTTTTCTAAAGAAGCACTTGAAATGTTTCATGAACCTACTTTCCTTGATGAAAATCATCCTGATGACGATAGCAAAGCCGAAACAGAAACACATCTAGAATCCGATTATTCAATTGAAGCTTCCGATTCTGATGCTGCCGATTAGTCGGAATTTATGCTTAAATAAATAAGTGTTATAAAACCAAATCACCCTTAAAAGTGTATAGTGTGCTATGTCGACAAATGCATTTGCTACATGTTAGATTAGTTTAATTAGTTCTACTTTAAATTAGTACGTATAATTTATTTTTGTCCATTTGGCAGAATTATTTAATTGTATTTTCGATCAAATGTTAAAAAAAATACAATAATCTGTTTATCAATTTTAACATGAAGTTTTATTTACGTTCTTATTAATATGCATTCTAATGCAATACAGGGTGGTACAAAAAGTTGTGTATTCTAATTCCATCTTGAACGTAGACTTATCAGTCGTGATTCCTGAAATATCTCGGAAAAAGTGAAACCATGCTAATTTTAAAAAACGTTATACCGCGAAAACTGTAATACCGATTTTGATAAAACTTGGGTTCCTGTAATTTTTTATAATGGCGCTTCGAATGACGTTGGCAGATTTTTTCGAAAATGGCGTCCATAAGAAGATATAAAGTTGAATATCGGTGTGCAAGATTTAGATGGCTTAGAAAAAATCTGCCAATGTTATTCGAAGCGCCATCATAAAAATGACAGAAACTCAAGTTTCATCAAAATCGGAATAAAAGTTGTCGCGGTATAACGTTTTTTAGAATTGGCACGTTTTCACTTTTTTTGAGATATTTCAGGAACCATGACAGATAAACCTGTTGTCAAGATGGATTCTCAATGAGCATTAGAATGCACAACTTTTTCCTAATTTATCCGACCCTGTAGCTCTTATCATTTCGGATACCCCAATGGTGAGCATTGTAAAAGTGACCACCCTGTAGAAGCAATGTTCTTTTTAACCAAAAATGTTATTAAATCGCATATCTACAACAAAAGCATTTTTTTTTTTTATTATTATAGCAATCTAGTACAGTATACTAATAAGCCATTTGTCTTTAACTTAATCTACTACTTTAAAAAACACAAAGCACAC